CAAAATATACACATGTTCCATTTGATAAAATCAAGCTAATCAATCCATTAATGGTGTATCCCATATTCCCATCCATCCATTTTCTTATTGCTTTTCATGTGTGGAGACATCACCACCACCACCACCACCAACAACCCTGTAGAATCCCACGAAAGTAGTGTTTGTACGCAGACCTTATCCTTACTTTCCTAGTAGAGAGACTGTTTCTAAGAGACCCCGACTCGAGCAACACATGTGTAGAGAAGAATGCGCAATGCAAATAATGATAATTTAAGTGACATATAGAGTAGAAACAGACAAGTAAAGAAATCATGAATAAATGTGATATTCAATGGGGTTTTTTAGAAAACTTTTTAATGTGATTCAATGGGTTAAATACATTGGGATCACTATTCAATGGATGTGTAGACAGGATTTTCTTAGCATTCACTCGGTTGGTCAAAATGGCGGAGTGCTTCAGGCTTTGTATGTGATAAAAAAGTACCTTTAAAACTAAGGGAAAAATTTTACCGTACTGCTGTTAGACCAACTATATTGTATGGGACAGAGTGTTGGAAAACAAAAGGTGAATATGAACACGAGGTGATTGTGGCGGAAATGAAGATGCTTTGTTGGATGAGCGGTCATACGCGTATGGATAGAATAAAGAATGAAGATATGAGAGCTAAAATTGGAGTGACACCTATTGTAGAAAAAATGGTGGAAACTCGTCTTAGGTGGTTTGGACATGTGGAGAGAAGACCAATAGAGCATCCCATGAGAAGGGTTGATCAAATGGTGAATATGTATGTAAGTGGCTAGAGGAAGAGCTAGACATAAGAGGAGTTGGCAAGCATTGATCAAGGGAGACCTTCGAGTGAACAATCATGATACATGATAAGGTGCAATAGCATCGTTTGATCCATGTAACCGACCCCACCTAGTGGAATAAAGTTTTGTTGTTGTTGTTGTTGTTCACTCGGTAGAGGGTGGATAAATGGACTCTTTTGCTACCCCTAAGACATTGTTATTTAAGGCATGATGTGCCCCAATGCACCAAAGGGCTCTAGTGCCTCAATGCGCGATGCACACTGGATGCGCGCGCATTACGAACACAAGGCACAAATTGAGGCACTAGTAGAATAGTATATCTACATTAGTAATGCGAAGTACTCCCTCCGTCCCAAAAAGTCCGACACGTTTCGAAAAAACTGCGTCCCGTAAAGTCCGTTACATTTTTATTAAAAAACCACTTTTACCCCTTACTTTTTCATACCCTACCTATCACATAATACCTTTTTCCGAATAATCTACCCATCACATCCTACTTTTACCCATCACATCAAGAGTATTTTTGGAAAGTCAGCACCAAAATATCTCTCCCTTAATTTCCCAAAAAGTCAATATGTACGGATGTACCAATCTTTTTGGGACGGAGGGAGTATTATATATATAATTTTGAAAAAGCATAATAATGTTTTAGAAATCAACCAAAAATGGAAGTCACACATTGTACTATTAACAAAATAAAAAAGCAAAACATTCAAAGAACAACAAAAGTCATAGACAAAAAGAGAAGAACACGAGTTTGGAGATTCTTCAACACTAGAACAATGTGTTTGCAGAAACAAATCTGAAAAATTCACTTAACAAACAAAAAATTATATAAAAAACAGTTTGCAGATGTGAAAAAATATCTGCTAGACATAGATTAAATTATTTGAAGAAAAAATATGTTATGTCCATCAAGAGAATGTTTGAAAAAAAAAGATAGTATAAAAATACATGATGAAGAAAAAAAATATGTTAACTGGGAGGGTTGGAGTCTGTGACCCGTTGGTGTGCAACAGTGCATGCTAAACCCCAAGCAATAGCGTTATGGTAGAGGGTCAAAGCAGAGAGAAGAAAGAGAAGGGAGATTATTAAAGGATATGGTTGTATGCCGTTCAATCTTCTTTTCTTGAGGGTCGTAAAGATAAGGTGGCATAAAGAGTGAGGCGGAATAAAAAATAACGCTAGTACCTAAACCTTATCCTAAATAATTAAAATAATGACTCAGATGTTCACGATGCACGCCTTCTAGCGCATCACTTAACATCGCATAATGTGATGAGGCGCACTAATGTGTGCACCTCACAAACATCGTGCGCATCATGTCTGCTGATGCACTAACCTTGGTGCATCGCGTCTCAGGCGCGCTTTTCACAACTATGCCCCTTAGACTGCGAGCATCATTACAAGCATTTGTTTATTGACCCCATGGTAGGAGATCTATTGGAAATTTTAATACATACAACTCCCTTTATCCCAAATTTTCTCGAATGTTCTGTTCTTTTGTCGGTCCAGATTTATATTAGTCATTTTGGTTTGTAGAAAGCATAATGTGGTTCATAAATCTCAACCACACAGTTTTCAATTTTTTAATCAACGTGCCCTGTAAAAGTGAGCCAAAAAAACTGGGACGGAAGGGGTAGCAAAATGTATATTGTAAATTACGAAGTATAACACTTACAACTTGAAGTAAAGCATCGAGCAATCCAGGAATCTTGGCAAGCGGCGTTGCATCTTTGCGTATATCATCCTTTTCTTTGAAAGATAGTAATGTGAGAGTATTCAATGCCCATGTGAGCTCACTCTTCAGACCACTTTGGAGAGATAGAACAATCCTTTTATTATTCTGCTCTGATTATCACATATAATTCAGACCAAGTAATAATTAGTATGGGATCCAAAGAACATAATTGCTTCCTTAGCCTTCTCATATTCTGATTCTTTATAAACTATAACCAGTGGTGCAATTTTTAAGAATCATGAAGAAGCAGACAAGCAAAAAATGAACTTCTTTTGTCACTAATACGAGGATGCAAACCACTTTCCTAAACCCATGTACAATCCTACCATGTATTGGCCATCACACATGTTCTTAAGGATCAATTTATTTCCAAACAATTGAAGTCTTCAAAATGAGATTAAAAAAATACTCATTTTTATTAAAATATGTCCTTACACACTTACACCATTCAACCTTCAGGAGGAGCTATGTCATTTAGCTGAAGCCAATTAAGAAGTCAAGCTATTTACAGTCAGAAAAAAAAAACAGTTTTGCTGATGAATACATGTAAAATACAGATGTGTTTAATTCAAGTCCCTATATTTTGTGCAGAATTAGGGTTCTAGCAGAACGATATATTCCATTTGTTAAACAAAATAATGGGAAAATAATAAATGAAATTCGGCGGGTATGACAATTGAATGTGCGTTCAAGCTAGGGTTTACGAAGGAATCACCAGCGAAAGCGGAGTGAACTTGGAGGGAGGGACCGAGGAGAGTCGGAGGTGCTACTGCGTCAGCAGCCGCTTCACCGGACGTTGAGGGGTTATTTGCGACGCTGCCGAACGGACGGCCTCTCCTCGACGCCGGAGTGGCGGAGCCGCCGCCAGATCCTCCGCCTTGCTTGCCATTATCTCTTTTCTGCATTTTTCTCCCTCAGTTGGTCGTCCCCGGAAAAAAGCATATTCAATTAAAAGGTTATGGGCCGCTGTTTAAATTTTATGGGCTTTGTTATTGCATCAAAGTATGGCTTTCGTGAAGACACAGGTGCTACTGTTATTGGACCCAATGCGGAGTCCAGTACGTTTGGAACAGCCCACAAATGCCATTGCATATCTTCTCCATCCATATTATAACGTGTCCCAAAAAAGAACCCTTTACGAAAAACAATGTTAGATTGTAGGTGGAAATACCGTGGGTTAGGCCGACACACAGTTGAAGGTGTGATGGACCTTGCGTCTCCCTTTTATTTTTCTTATAGAAAGTAACATGTTTTGATTGCGTGTTGATTTGTTCGGTTGAAGTTAATATTTGATAAATTGTTCGCCGTCAGTAGTTTTGGGGAAACGTGGGGGGTTTGCTTTTCTTTGAAGGGAGAGTCGCACTGGTAGTCTTATCAATTTTTCCAAATTTCATGTTTATATCGTGGTGTTTTTTTTTTTGAAATTGTTGCCCCTGAAGATTCATAAATTTTTATGGCAATCCAGTGAGGGATCATAGGCAGACGTATTGGGAGTTGCTTCTAACATTGAAGCTAAGATCATCGATTCACTAGCCATGTAAGAAGGGATGAGCCCTTATCTCTATCCCACAACTAAGGATTTTAATTCGACGTTTGTTCGAATGTGATCCTATTTGCTTTGAGAATGAGTGGTACTCGTTTACCTAGGAGAGGGGTTGTGATTTTGAAAATTGGGTCGAGGAGGGCTTGATAAGGCAATGACGTGTGGTGACGGGATGGGCCTTTTTCTTAAGTGTATGTTTTAATTATGGCATGCACTCATTAGATCATTCAACTTTGGTGGTTTGTTTGGTTGTTCAAGGGGTGATTAGTAGCCAAGGTGTTTTTTGAGCAAAGATATCACACATATTTTGAGATATCGAAAGCTAAGGAATGAACAAACTCAAGTTGTGATCGCCTTAAAAATGTGGCCACATGCTTACTTCACCTAGAATTGAGATGATTCTATATGATGAGTTTAGAAATTTTGTACAACTAGCAATTTCGGGGGCAACTATGCGTAAAAGAGAAAACTCTTGCTTGGACCAAAGAGCAATGATAGATGCTAAGTTAAATTCATGATTAACTACAAAAGTTATGGAAATGTGATTTTAAAAAATACGATCAATCAAATTTGGCTTTAGTATTAATGATTCCAATGTTATTTTCAAGCTATTAGATAACTTTTTGTTTGCTCTATTAGTCAGTTGTTTTGCAAATGAAGTCAAACATGCTACGAAACACTACTCTAGATCTTGTAAATTCATTGTTTTTGAATACGTAATTCTTAACTTCTTGTTCTATTACTTCGTATTAATTTATTTAAATTAAATTAATGACTATAAATTGTATTTTAGACAATTTATTTGTGATTCTTAGACTCGTGTCTTTTAATAAATTTTGGTACATAAAAGAATTGTGTATAATGAACCTTGTTAAAGCGATCTAACGTATGAGTTTATAGAAAATATATGACAAAATCTATTTCTTACGTGAATTTTAAGACTGTATTTTTAAAATGTATTCAATAATCGGTATATCTTATTGTATGTTGAAAGTAGTATAATACATGGGGGTTATGTGTTCTTTACATGGTGGAACGTAACACCCTCCAAGTTACAACTTTCAACAAAAAAAACAAGGCACAAAAAAATTAACTTAATTAAGTGGTAAAAATGTTTCCGATTATATTGCATACATCTCTCCCTATATGTTTTTTTTTTTGAAAAAATTACCGGGTAGTCATGTTGGAATTTTCAATTTCCGTATAATTTATTTACTCCGTATATTTTTTTAGGACTTTTCCTTGAAGAGGGCCGCCAACCCGGTGGCTACGAACTGGTTTCTTTTCTCACACCCTTTTGGCTTTATCTCCGGCGGTTGCCATCTTATCACCTCCGGCTTCTTTGACGGCGGCGAGAGAGCCGATGTCGCCTTCTCGTCATTAGCCAGGAACATCTCTTTTTCTCCAAAAATCAGATCTAATTCCCCGCACTCGCTCCCGGCTTCCGCTTGGATCCCGTCCCTAGCCGCTACCGGCTCGGCTCGCGGCGGCGGAGTGCGGGTGTAAGGGCTGAGCCACTTGGCTTTCATGTACTCCGCCTTGCGCCAGGGCGGGATGTGCATCCCCTTCTTCTTCAAACTCAGCTTGGCCGCCTCCGACACGATCGACACGATCTGCAGAAGCCGGTCGGGTTTTCCGACGAAAATGAACGGCAGAGACTGCAAAACCGCCTTGTAACCTCCCGTCGACCTCGCGATCTCGAACTCCGACCGGAAATCTACATCGATCAACACTCTATCTCCTTCGACTTTTACATCGATATACTCGTAGACACCTGCTGGGATTTTGGAGGTCTTTTCCCATTTGGATCTGCAGATGGAGGCGGTGTAGCCTAGAGATCGGAGGCCGTCGGCAACGATTTTCCGGGAATCTTCTTTACTCTTGAAGAAGGCTTTGTTCTTCTCTGCGATTTTGGAGGTTTCTGCTAACAAGTTTCTCTCCGCCGGGCTCGCACAAACAACCAGACTCTGAATTGAAAAATGAAAATTCAATCGGCTATCAGAGAATTGATCGTGAAATTGATTTGTGAATAGATATAATTGGAATTGGAAATTGAACGAACCTTGATAGAATCGGACGAGTCGGCACAAAAGGAAGGATTTCGGACATAATCGGCAGACCGGAAGTCAGTGAAGTCAAATTCTTCGTCGGAGCTGTCGTCGCTTTTTCCGTTGAAGCAATTGCAGCGGCTGCGCCCGCATTTCAGGCCTTTAGGCGTCTGCTTCTCATTGCTCTCCTCTATGAAATTCTGAACCATTTTCGTCAGGCAAATCGAGCTCGGCTCGAATTCGGCAGCTATAGTTGAAAATCCTCCCTTACCGTACGGAACCTCGCCGCCAGCTACGGCGGCAGGCGCGAGCTTCTCCGCCCCAGATGAATTCCGCAGCACGCTAGGGAAATCGAAGAGTCTCTTGAATCGAGATTTCGAAATCGGCCTACCGGAGTCGTTCCTAGCACATGCTGCTCCGTAAGCCTGTGAACCGATCGGCATAATCTTCGTCACCGTCATTGCTCTCTGCAGAGTTGCAGAAATCGCAGTTCCGATCCTCTGTCGTCACACCTGAACAGTGTAAATATTGACAGAAACACGAAGCAGTCCTTCAAATCAAAACCAGAACGCCAGCTCTAGCTATCAGATTTGACACCACAAATGTTCTATCCCAAAAAACAAACAGAGAGAATCAGGAGAACTAAACAAAATTCAATAAGCTTTCTCCGATCATTATCCTCCAGTTAAATCACAAACATGAAACATCAAATCATCGACGAGATGATCAGAGCGGCGAGAATCGGCTACAATTCCGCCAGAGAAAACATGAAAATTCCTCCTGTTATGAAGGAGAAAAGGAGGAAGGAGAAAGAAAGAGTGAGGTTCAGGCAAGGAACTATAACGGAGGAAAACGTGACGGCGATGAGGTAAACCGGAAGCAGGGACTTCGCAATTGAGAAGAAAGGAATTTGCCGGCGCTGCGACGGCGAAGTTGCAGTTACCGACGCCAATAAAAGGTGTGTGGGACCCGTGAAAGATCTTTAGATTGGACTCTTTCCCAAGGGCCCTCTCTCTCTCTCTGGATTGCACTGAACAGAAGATTATGCTTTATATAGAAAAAAAAGTATGAACCCATCCCCTTAACACTCGTCTAAACGGTCACTAAAAAAAGATAAATTACGGAGTATATTTTAATTACAGATTTGTGATTAAAAGTTGAGCTTGCACATGATATTTACAGAGACCATATTTTTAATATAGTTGTTTTTTAGCACAATTGTCATGAATCAAACTCAGGTATTACCGCCAAAAAGAGTCTAAATGAAATTATGAAAAGTGTGCTCTACGCTACACGGAAATGTGACAATGCTCCTTGAGAAGCAAGTGAATTATAGTTTATCTTACACGTCTAACCACAACCTTTATTTTTTTATTTAAAGAAAAATAAAAACACTTTTTTCTTGTCTAAATTTTGACTGAAATCTAGAGTTGGAAGATTAAAATATTGAACAACTTTAGGAGTACATCAAAATGGGATACTCATATGTACACCAACAAATATAGATATTTAGAATCTGTGATCACATACATTAGATGTTTATGTTTATCTGGTGTACAAATGTGCCCTATTTTCATTTACCTCTAGTATGACTCTAAAATATTACCTGTTTGATACATAATTGGTGTAAATTATGATTTTTTAATAAAATTATTTTTAATCTAAATCATTTTAAATGTGGCGTCAATTTAAAAACAAAGTTTATATTCATATTCAAAAATCATATAGTATAAAATAAGATATGACAAAACTATATAATTTTATCAATTTTAAAGTACAAATAGAGAAAAAAAGAATTAAAATTTGACGTTGTGGCATGTATTGTCCACATTGATTTTGAAAATTTAAGAAAACTACTGATTGGCTACAATAAATATTGTAGCCAATCCGCAAAATGGAGAGGGGGGAGTAGGGTTTAGGAGGGATTAGGGGGTAAGAACATCAATTTTACATACGGAGCACCGTATGTGCCCCGGGTTCTGGGTCATAATTTGATTCGAGATTCCAAGGTCAAAAGAATCGTTGTGATTAAAATTTATAAAATATAATATGCTCTGCAATATAATATAATACAATTCATATACATTATATATGACAAGCCTTTGCCTTACATTTTGATTTATTAGACTATTTAACAAATTATATGTATTATAAAATTTATTTAATATGTAAATTTTTTACTTCTGTACAAATTTTTGAATAAAATAATTTTTTTAAAAAAAATACCTCGCGAAGTCTTAGTGAATTTCATTTGGGAAATCAGAAAGTAGTTATATTTTTACTCATTTATATATGAGGAATTGATATTGCAATTTATAGAACAAAATTTGAAATGTGAAAGTTAAAGGAACGCAATAGTCATTAAGCAACAACTTTGGTGTTTAGATCTAGCGTTTTGAAAAAGTCATCCAAAAATAATGTTAAGTTTAATTTCAAGTTTTTCAAAATTAAAATAATTATCTGAAATGCTAAAATTAAGTTAAAAAATTGCTCCAAACACTCTAACTACAAGGCAATGGGAGTAATAGGAAATTAGTAAACTATTCTATGGAGAAACTTTTTATTTTAGGTTGTTATCATATCTATTTTTCCTAGTCTATTCAATACATATATTATATTGGTGGAACTTTAATTATTTAATAAAACCCCTATTATCAAATTTATCAGAATAATTGATTTGGTACTTTAATATCTCTCCTTCAATCAATATTAGTATTTAGTAATTTTTAAAAAAATAGACAATTAAATTCAAAGGGTTAAAATATTATCATTGTAACCATTATAACTTACTTTAGTCTTTAGCTAATGTATTGAATTACATTCACCAAACATGTAGCACGAATAGTGGTTTTGACATGCATGGTCATAAAGTTAATAATAGTTGAAGAGTCTAAAGCAATTTTAAAAGCTATCCACCAATTAAACAAGTCATTGTTTTGAATTGCTGAAAATCTGCTCAAATGGTTATGTGGTTTTTTTATCCATGCTCATTTTAATGATCATACTACAAAAATAACATGTAAGAATTAAAATTTTTGTAAAAGAAAAAAGATTTACTTGTAAGCTCATAAAAGTATGACAAGATCTATAATTCTCATGTGAACCTTAAGACAACAAAAACACAACTCAAAAGTTTACATTCTCCATGCCTATCTGAAATTGGAAAAGTTAAAAAAAAAGATAATTAAAATAACTTTTAAAATTAAAACAACAATTTCCATTGTAAAATATAAAGAACAAGGTCTTGTTTTGGAACATCATTTTCAATTAGTGTTATGTATTTTGAGTAAAATTTTAATAATGCATATTAATTATGAAAACGTCAACACTAAATACTATGGTTAGATAATATTTTGAAAACACTAACACTAATATCTAAACCGAGGCCAAACTTATTTTCAAAACGCTAACATTAAGCAGTTAGAGAGCAATTTATAACATTTTTGTTATAGACAAACAATCATAGTCTCTCGGAGTATATTGCCACAACTCATTTGTCAAACTAATGCATTCATTGTCAACGGTCAATCATAGTAGAAATCACACGATAGACCGAAGCACATTTTTTTCTAAAGATTTTCAACCCGAAAAGAAGGGTCAATCAAATAGAAAATCACGAGGGCTCATGCACATTTTTTTCCAACAAATTTTAACAGGAAAAGGATATTTTTGAATATTTTAGATCTCTCTTTGAGTTTTTTTTTACTGTTATGGTATAAAAACATGGATAAAAAACAGTAAAACTTAGAGAAAATGTAAGCACATAATCTTGTCTCTAGAAACACAAATTCTTGCAACAATACAGAGTACCTCAACAAACACACTTTGAACTTTAACACTTTTCTTTATATAGAAAATGTCACGAACCCACCACCCATGCCTCCATGGATGACAATACAGATGACTTTATGGAAAATGCTAGAGTGCCACCACATGGGTGCTACCATGGGTGCACCCATGCTTCACACACACAAACACAGACGATAATTGTCTGTGTCGCACAGACAATTATCGTCTGTGTTTATCTGTATGAAGCATGGGTGCACCCATGGTAGCACCCATGCGGTAGCACCCTAGCATGGTCCTGACTTTATACCTAAATAGATGAAAATCATCTGTATTGTCATCGGTGGGGGCAAATTTAAGGAACATTCATAACCTGGACAGATTGGAGCATGTCTGAAACAGCAATGACGAGGTCACCAGTTTTGATCATGCCGCGGGCCTTCAAGAGGGAGAATGTCTTGTTGAGGTTGTTTTCCATGTCGTCCGAGAAGCACAGGCGGAAGGGGATCAGACCCCATTGCAGGTTCAGGCGCCTGCGCACTGAGGTTGTCGTTGTGAACGCAAAGATGGGACAATCTGGGCGACAACGCGACAACAGGGAGGCCATGTGCCCTTTTTTGGTGTACACAAAAATAGCATCAACCTCCATTTTGTTAGCTGCAATATTTAACTGGCCACACATCAGACCAAACGCGAAAACGGGAATAAAACATGACAGCGTATTTTTAAAAAAGAGTGAATTCCATAAAAGGTCTCTAAATACAGGTAATTTTCTACTATATTTAGTTCCCAATTCTAAGGTATTACATAAATGGTGTTCTATTTTCACCATAAATAGTCTTTTAACCCAAATACGGCAAAATAAATTTTAAACATATAGTCCCTGGAAGAACGATTATGGAATAATTTTCAAAAAATCGAGGATTATTTATGTAATATCTTAGAATTAAAGACCAAATATGAAAATTAACCTGTAAGAGCATCTCCAATGCACTAGGTAAATGGGCAAAATGCCAATTACTATTCATTTATAGCAATTCTTATTCATTTTTTTGAGCTCCAACCCACTTGGTAAAAAAATGCCAAGTTTGGCAAAATGACAACTGGAGTTGCTATCTTTAGCAACTCCTACTCAATTGGTAAAAGTATTAATGAATATAATGATGACTCATCTTCCATCTCCCACCACTTGTTGAAATAGATAAAATCTAAAATCAATAAAATAGTAATTGATTATAATAAAATATTATAAATACGTATAATAAACCAAATACGGTTGGAGTGATTGGTAAAAAATGAATTGATATAACATTATTCATTAGGTAAAATATCATTTACCGATCATATTATACACATTATATGGTTGGAGATGCTCTAACTAGAGACCATTTATGGAATTTACTCATAAAAAAGTAGCATGTTTTTTATGAAACGGAAGGAGTGGATTTCTCTTACCCATCTTGGCAGCAGAATTGCAGATTTCTTCTGATATGGTATCTCCAAAAGAAGAGGCAATGGAAGGCAGTTCCATTGCTTCATGTTTCTTGTCTTCTCTCCACTGCCTCTCAATTCTCAAACTCACAGTTCTCAGCACAGACAAAGCCTTATCAGGGAACAGCCCCATGGCAGACTCTCCAGACAGCATCAAAGCATCTGCCCTTTGCATCACTGCTTCTGAAACGTCCGCCACCTCAGCCCTAGTGGGAATCGGGTACTCAATCATAGACTCGAGTAACTGGGAAGCGACTATCACGGGTTTGTTTAGCTGTCTGCAGAGCTTAACAATCTTTTCCTGCACCGTTGGGACTTGCTCCAATGGGATTTGGGCACCAAGGTCCCCTCTTGCCACCATAGCTCCATCCGACACTTGAATAATTTCTTCCAAGTTATTCAATGAGTCAATACTCTCAATCTTTGCGATTACAGAAATATCACTGCAGCCATGTGTAGTAGATAAACAGTCATTTACTCGGCTATGTAGTCAATAAGAAGAAAGAGTTTCAATACTTGTTGGGTTAATCCCCTAAATGCGCGGGGATTATGGTAAAGCGCTTCAAGAGTAGATTTTGGTGTTCAAAGTCTTGAACCAATAATATTAAGGGTATGGGGGGTCTGGGGAATCCCACACAACGAAGGATCTTGGGGGGGGGGGGTCTGGGGAGGGAGGGTTAGTGTACATAGACCTTACCCCTACCTGGAAGTAGAGAGACTATTCCTAAGAGGGGATAGCAATTGACCATTACCAAAAAAAACACGTAGGTGAGAGTAACTTAAGTATAGTTTATTCTTATGATTCAGAAATATAAAAGGAAACTGCGGACTGACTGATCATGAGCGCGGGCTTTAATGTAACTTTTCAGGTGGTTAATGACTTCGGCAGTCTTGACAAATGATACTGCAATAAAATCAACACCCTCTGCAATCCCAAAGTCAATGTCCAGCCAATCCTGAATGGAAATAAATTTATGAGCTAGAGATTACATACTATGACGATTTCGTACTCTTAGATTCTACTTTCTATAATTAAGGACAAATGCATTGTTAAAAGATTTGCACACACATATATATATATCCAAACTAACTGACCAAGACACAAGTAAAAACATTCTTTTTCTATCTTTTAGTAAAGGCTTCTGCTTTACTGGTAAAACTTACCATTATTTCACGAAGAAAACCGAATGAGGCGTACAAAACCATTGACAAAAGCAAATGAAACATACAAACTAAATTAAAATTGCCAATCCCATTAACAACTTTACAATCGATAAATAAAGATATATATCAATAGAATAAAAGGATTGATCTAACAACGAAAACTGTCAACATGAAGTGCTTAAACAAACAAGTAATAAAAGTTTAAGTAACTTCACATGCGCAAATCTCAAATTAAGTGTCATTAAATAGAAGCTATAGAATCCATAAACGACATCATTACAACTACAAGCACATTTATAGTATCTTGCCCATAAGAGTAAAAAACACATTAGGTTGCAATTGTACTATTATATATTCCATGTTTAGAACATAATCTTTTCGTCCATAATGAGTGGGTACGTAGCTAATTATAACAAGGAAACATACGAAAGTACAAGAAGACATTCACCAACCTTTGAAGAAATTGTAGGGAGCATAGCATTTCGCTCTCTTACTAAAGTTCCATCGCGCCAAAATGTCAAATTAGCCCGCGGCAACAGAAGACCGCTATCTGTGCAAAGACACTTAACGTCTGGACCGATTTTCTCAACCACCTCAAACCTCACCATTCCACCATCAACTAGCAGCTCATCCCCCACTTGCACATCTGTATAAACAGATTATAAAACAGCAAACTCCCTACATTATTCATTAGATGATTCTAACCAAAACACCGAAAGCCACTATTAGTGCTTTACAGAAAAATAGGCATATATTTTGCATGGATTCAGAAAACTTCATTAACCTTCAGCAAATCCCTCATAATTCACATTAATTGTTTTCTCCGGTTGGGTTGAATCAAATGCTCGAACACTGAACGTCCAGATTTCTCCATCCTGAAAAACAAGAGGTTGCAAGTTCATATTATTCCTGTTCAGAGTTAACTAGCTTTGACTAAACTCCCACACAAGGAGCAACAGAAAGAGATTGAACCATGGCTACAAATGACTAGCGGTATCCTGCAAGCTTTCAAATTTAATCCCTCACATTAAAAAGAAGCCGGAAGCAAAAAATCTCCATAAATAAACAACCTTTCATCACAACGGCTGAAGGTCGGTTGTCATTTTTACTTAAAAGTGTAAACCTTGATTGAAAATAAGTACAACGGAGTAGAAAAGAACAGACTTTGGATCATGTATTTCATAAAGTTTTTCGATCTTTAGCAAATGGCCTAAACTTTTAATAAACTTGGGTTCAAGTTTAAGAATTCAACTAAACTTAGATATTATTCGCACTGTCCCGATTTGGTCGTCCACTTTATTTTTCTGATTTGTCCGAAATTAGTCGTCCACTTTTTCATTTCATATTCAATACTGAATATAATAAGAGAGTATATGTTTAAAACATCCTCATATGAATGAGTGACAAAAACATTTTAAACTCATTTCTTTAAAATGGGATTGATGTAATGTGGGTGTTTCTTAGTGGTTATAAGCCCCGGTCAAAACTACTTATAAACTGCTTTTAAGTTCTTAATGAGCTGACGGCGTGTTTCTCGGTACTAAAAAGCTGACTTATAAAGTGCTTATAAGTCAATATAAATAAGTAGGTCTTACTTATTTATTTATTTTTTTAATCAATATTTTTTTAAATTTTTTCATTTTGATCAGATTAATTACAAAACTATTCCTCACTTTTTACTATAAATATCTTCAGATAACTTATCTTTCATTTAATAACAAATAAGCTAATAAGGTAGAAAAGTAGTAGAAAAGCAAAATAAAGTAAGCTCCACATTTTTTGTTTATTTACTGCAAAATGTAAATGTACAAAGGTAAACTTTGATACCTCAGCTTTGGCAGAGGAAGCGCCGCCAAGATCACCCATGTGGATCTCACTGCCCTCAGTATCCATCATGATGGCGACGGCGAACCCCTTCTGCTCGTTCAACCGCCGGACCCGGTGGATCACCATCCGGTGCCACTCACGGGTCCCGTGGCACATGTTGATTCGGGCCACATTCATCCCGCCGACGGCCAGCGCTTCCAGCTGCTCGAACCCGCACGTGGCCGGACCAATTGTGCACACCAGCTTGGTCCTCCTCGTGCTCCGGAACCCGTTCTCCTTCAGCTCCGCCTCCGTCACGGTGTCCACCTCTATTGCGGCCGAGAGCGCGTCCCCCGCGGCGGCCAGCACACTGCCTCCCGACCCGTTGTCCGACGCCAGAACCGGAGAAGTCGAATCCAGATCCGAAACCCAGACCTTAGCTATCGACCCCGTCTTCTGCCCGGATACCTTCGCCGGGAACCGGACAGAGCCGGAGCAGGGGACCGAGAGAGGTTTCGGAGCACGAAAACTCGCCGGCGAACCGGCAGAAACGGAGAAATTGAGGGATTTCAACATTTTCTTGTCGGCAGAAAATCTGAACTGAGGTTTGTGTTTGCCGGAGCGGTGATTTATGCCCTCCGATTAAGGCTTATTATAGAGGGAGCTTCGATAGTATCGGTGCCAGAGGTGAAGACGGTACCTGACGCAAAGAAGAAACGGCTCAATTGGACATTTGGCATCAAAGGGGTAGCAAAAGTGTTTTACTTGCTCCATTTGTATTTGCACTGAAAACGTGGTATAGAACGACGTCTACAAGTGGTTACCAAGGGCGTGTTTGGTTTCAAAAGAACAAAAAAGAGATAGCCGAGACCCTTTCAAACCAGGTTAGACGGTCAGTGAGAGGAGATAAAGTATATTTTGATCGCAAATTGATGAAAAAATAGAGTTTGCATCTGATAATTACGAAGGTCATAGGTTTAATATAGTTGTATCCTAACGTAGTTGTCAGAAATCAAACTCTGGTCTTACTCTTAAGGGGTATAACTTATACCCAACCCAGACTTGAAAACTGATCGATCGAATCATGACCGATCACGAACTCAAAACGTTGGGGAAGACCCTAGAACCATTGGAAAAGTGATCAGTCATTTCCACTTCTGCAAGTGATCGGTCATATTTTTGGCATGACCCAATTTGCTTGGCTTATGCATAAAAGACTATCAGAAGACAACTCTTTGTGTGGGCCCGGGGCATCTCAATGACGACGAACTAGAGGGGATAACGAGATGAGGGAGTATGTGTGGCGAACTACTCTGCCCCTGCCATTTATTGCAGAGCGAAGATTCTGTCCCATCATGCAACGGCTAGGCAATGGCTAGATTGACGCTCATTAATTATTGAATTAATGAGCATCAGGTCAAGAGGTTGTTTCCATGTATGGCTAATGACCGGTGCTAGGCTTGTGGTAGAGTAGTAGCTAGTTACCTTATTTGACCCCCTTCACTTAGGGATGGCAATTCAACCCGAACCCGAGCTTAATCGACCCGACCGACCACTAAAATATCCGAACCCGAACCGAGAATAAAATAATCCGAACCCGACCCGAAATTTTTTACCCGAACCCGACATCGGGTCGGGTCAGGTGTGAGTTTATTATTTTACCCGACCGACCCGAACCCGAACCCGACCCGACTCAAACCCGAATATTTTATAACATAAAAGTCTATCTATGGATATAATGAGCACTCCGTATAATCTCTTGACAAAGTGCTACTATATCAAGTATGTCTTTTATAATCATTTTTATAAATTCTTAATAAAAAAAATGAGACACAAAAAAAAATTAGATGTAATCTTTTTAAAATTATTGGGGTACGCCGAATTGATTATTAGTTAAAAGTCGGGTTCGGGTAGGGTTCAGGTCGGGTTCGGGTTTTTGGTTGGAATGTCGGGATCGGGTCGGGTTCGAGTTTTGGCTTAAAAAGTCGGGTTTCGGGTCGGGTTCGGGTTTCGGTTTTTAAAGTCGGGTCGGGTTCGGGTATAGTACTATCCGACCCGAACCCGACCCGTTGCCATCCCTACCTTCACTCTATATAAATATGTTGTAATGGAGGGAGGAGGGACATTCATTCACACTCACACAAACTTGTACACTCTCGAGATAGAGTGATAAGGAAAAAATATAAATTCAGACACAAAAATTCTTTCAAGGTCTAGGTCACTCTTGTGTATTTTACTTTCTTGTGTCTTTTCCTTGTTAAAGTCCGTTTGACCAGGTCAATCGTGATCAAATATACACCTTAATAATTCTTCTTCCAAAATTAGTTTTTGACTAAATTATACCCCTCTATCCTGTTTTATATTACATATTTTGACTTTCGCACATAATTAAAGAAGAGAAAAAATGACAATGAGCATCCAAAATTGCTCTTAAACTCAATTAAATGAAATGTATGAGCCTACAAATCTTCACCCCTATCCCATATGCACAAGAAAAGTAAATCACACAAACAATCAACATGTGTGAAATCAAACACGAAACATAGTCTAAGTTCGTTACATCACAACAATGAATTTTTTAGGGAAACTTTCCCTTCTTACACAAACAAAAATTCTATAGAAAATACTCTCAACACTAAAAATAAAAAATGGAAGAAAAACCAATGGCAGTGGCTTCAGCAACACTCGTGGGGTAGCAGTAGTGCAACATTGAAGATCCAAAATTTCATCTAATAGCTCTTCAGGATTCAACATGAACACAAGATTTCAAATGTCATCATATAACTCTTCAAGATTTGAAAAATATAAATTTTTTTAGAATTTATGTCGCATATGTTGGTTTGGCGAACACTAATTTGTGACGGGGTCAATACGTAGCAGATTATGGATCTACAACGGTTTTTCTCGAATCTGCGATGAAAAGGTGTCTATTGCATATCTGGCATATTCTTATAGTGGAACTATTTGAATGGTCGCTTAGGTATTCTACCCATAAAAGCGTACCATAATAGGAAACATCCAATGTAATTCGAGACGGACAAAAAAAGAAATCAAATAATTTAAAATGAGATAAAGGGATAAATGGGAGTATAACTAAACAAAAAAAGTTAGCATGAAACCAAAAACTGAAAATGGAACCAAAAATCAAAACAAATAATATGCATGGCATTTTGAAAGATTCTAGGCACCTTAGATTGTTATGGAACCCAAATGCATTTAGGCACCTTAGATTGTTATGCGACAAAGAACTATTTTCTACCCCTAGCTCCTCCCCCAAATGAGTACTACCTCCGTCCCAGAGTATTTGTCCACTTTCATTTTTATACACCATCCAATACACTTTTTTAATCCATTTTATCTTGTAATTTGTATATTGAAAAATTATAGAAATTATATATTAATAATCTATATGTTAAGACAAATCAAACAAGATCACACATGACTATATTTAGGCTTACACATTGAGAGAATTTGATGAGTCAAAGTGCTTAGATGAACAGTTCCAAAAGTCAAAAGTGGACGAATATAACGGGACGGAGGAAGTATATTCCAAAGGAGATTCTCCTTCATGAGTACGGTGGTTTGGAGGCTTTACAAGGCTTGTTTGGCAATGGTGCCCTTTGAGATAAATTTGTAGATAAATTCGAAGATCACATTAATAATTGTCTCACTTGTATTTAGAAGGTGTTTGGCACAACGTTAGAGAGCAACTTTTGAGTTTCAAATTTGTCCAAAAGCACTTTTGTGTGTTTGGCAAAACTATATCAGCTTATGGCGTATGAGTTCAAAGTGCAAAATAGAGTGCAAAAGGGCTTTTTGACAAAATTGGGATTAAATGCTTTTGGCTTCTGGGTTAGGGCTTTTGTTTTTCTAAGAATCAACTGTAGTACCAAACACCCTCTTAGCATCTTTGATTTCTTTCTTAGTATACTCTTTAAACTATTTCACTCAACAAGAAGTCACATAACCAAAAATTGTTATTGCTAGTAAAAAAATATGAACATGTACTTACTAGGGTTACTGGGGAGTGATGATATTTTTTATCTCTCAACAATCTGTAGAACCTAAACGGTTGGACCAAAATCTTCATTTATAATAACTTTGTATATGATAGCGTGTTGGCATGAGTCACAAAATCAAAACATATCCATTTATATTCTAAACTATATTTTTAGAAAAAATGGAAGGAATGAAGGATTCTCAAAATTTGTATTTTGATATCGTGTGCACTATTACTCGTCCGTATTAGAATTTAATAAAAAATATATTTAAATGCGTAAACATCTATTTTTTCTATTGAATACTAAAAATTATAAACTACTAGTATTTCTTACATAGTGACATGCTCCCACACCGTAAATATACCTTTATTGTTTTCTCCTTGTAGATGGCAAGCTACTTCAACAGCTCGCCAATTTTCATCATGGAAATAAGCCATATTAAAGAATTCAAATACTATATTAAGGCGTTGCTACTATTTCAATCATAGTTTTCAAAACCGGACCGGTGACCGAACCGGTCTCGGTACTGGTTCACTGGTCGAACCGGTGGTTTAAACATTTTTTAAATATATATATATATATATATATATATATATATATATATATATATATATATATTAATATTTAGAGTAAATAATGTATAACATTTGACCAAATCTATATTAATTTACTTCAATTATGTCACTAAGTTTAACAATAAAATTTACATATTTAAAAAACAATATAAACCATTTTATTAACAAAGAGTCAATTTTATTATTTTTCAAATAAATTATCTAATATTAAAAACACTGAAATGAAATCTTTGCATAATATTTGTAATTGTATCAATTATATCAATAATTCTGAGTTTAAATCATAGCTATAATATTATTTTTTAAAAGTTCTTAAAATGAAAAGAAATCTTTAAACTTTTTGTTAATAATGTAATATAAAGATTATTAAAGTGAACTTATGACACAAATATAGTTTAGTTGAGATGGTTAGGGATTCAACTTTAGTAGCATGAGGTCTTGTGTTCGAATCCGTGTGTGGTGACATTTTTTGACCAAAAATTTGCAAAAATTAAATGGTTTGGCCGGAGAACCGGCCGGTTTTCCGCGGTTCGCACCGGTTCGTAGCGGTTCAAAGCAAGATGCGGTCCAAGGTGCCAGACCGGACCGGTTGGGCCACCGGTTCGCCGGTTCACGGTCCGAACCGGCCGGTCCGGTCCGGTTTTTAAAACTATGATTTCAATTAATGAAATAAAAACATTCTTTCATTAATAAAAAAAGAAGCAGCGACTTAACATAGCCATTTAAGAAATGCATTTTCATAAGATACCAAGTAAACAACAAGAAATGCATCTCTAAGGCTAAATTTCTCAAAAGGAAATAATGATATCATTTTTTTGAAAATGCATCAGAAATATATTAATTCAAATCGGAGCACAAAGTCTCATACATAAATGGAGGGACAAAGACCCACTCCAAGCGATCAGAGTGAGAATCAGGCGCTTGAGCCAACATTTAAGCCACCTAATTCACTGACCTTCTAACAACTGACAATGTGATAGAAACAAAGTCTCGCATCATTGTGATGTTCTTCTACTTTCCACGCTAACAAAAAATGAGAAACATTTCCTGCACATTTTGGGATTTGCTCCCAGAGTCTAATTTCTCCCTAAAAAAAGTCTAAAGATGGGAACTTTAAAGCCACCCTCCAACAGATGATGACATTTCTTCAGGAAAAAAAAAGCCAATGGAAATCAAACTATGCAGCACCCACAAGGAGATTTATCAGGTACCCCTTCAAACCATAGATCCCAAGAAGGACTTGTCGGGCCATTCGTTCTGTCAGGAAATTTAGATAAAGAAACTCGGTATAGAATACGGATTGATATTAAGCTACACTAACATTGTGTGTCACCAACCAAGATTCTATCCAGCTAAGTTGCACCGAGACGAGGATGGGGTTGGAAACATGAAAACGCCAATATTTCCAAGTTTTATAAAGGATTTGGGTGTCCGGACATCCCCAAGTATCCAAACGGGAACATTTTAGGGACATGAAGTAGCATTTATTGGAAAAATTCATGCAACATAGCTCCATATTCCAAGGCTAAATGTATGTGAAAAATGAAGTCACCTCGTGCTATGTATCCATATTCCACCATAGAGATGCGGGGTTATTTCGTTTAAAAAGTTGTGGTTTGTTTGGGTGGAGCTGGTTATTCGAGGGACTAGTCTACATCTTGCTATATACGGAGCATTTGAGGTTTTTTTATATAAAAAAAATGAATTATTTAAATTTGGTTCAACATTTCGAATTTCCCATCAACTTTCTAGTTTTCTAAAAACAACTCTATAATTCTATACATCAAGATATAAACAGAGCCATCTAAAGCCTTCACATCCTTTAGGAAAATCAAGAATGGCTTACAGTGGGAGTAGTGGATCTGGTCTTGTTTCCATGTTAAGCAAAAGTCTGGTGTCCACACAAAGTAATAAAGTTAGACAAAGCATATCTCCCGTCCATTGCCAATGGAGCTAAAACAATCATCATTAACAATGTTTTGGTTTCGGGCACATTGGATTAAATCAAAATGACACATTAAACTCCCCTTGCTTTTTTTACTTTCTACGAAGTTTTGGACAATAAACGCAGCAATGCATTAAGGGTTGGGATTATAATGGATTTTCGTTGTTGTTGTAAAGCATAACACTCGTTACGTGTATTGAATATCTATGTGTTCTCTTACTCGTTACAAGCAGCCGAGGCATTTCCCATCGTGACCAGCTGTTCCAATTCCTCCTGGAAAAAGGTGATAGTATAATGTCATTGAAAATCTTTGCATTAATGCTTCCTTCTAAGACATCGGATTGATATTGGTATTGAGCTTTGCATTTGCTTTTTTTAAAAGAAGATTCCGTTTGTGTATATGTTCACATTAGAATAGATTCTTTTAGGGTTTTGCATTGGCTTGGTTTCAGAAGATCTACAAAGTCGTTAATGGCTACCGAACTCAGTAATTTCTACGGAGTAAAAACTTACAAAATTTCATTCGTACAAATAAGTCAACGTGTCTACTTATATAAAAAGGTAAAAACTTGGCCGCGATCAAAAAAGAAGATTCCTTAACAATCATAGAAACAAAATATTAAGTGAGACTTATAAATTAAACGGATGGGGTGTATGCATTACAAACTTACCAAATGCGCACAAACATACTCCGTATAACTTTTTGAGACAATCATAATAAACACAAAGCATGAAACTCTACCAAGTCTCTTTCTTCTTTATTGATTTTATTTCCTTAAGGTGACATTTGGTGTGATGTTCTAGTTTCAAGTTGGCAGGCTTGCTTCTAAACATGGCATTTGGTGGAAAATGTTGGAAGAATTAATGTGTTAAAAAGTCACTCAATTCATCTTTTAGATAAAAGAGAATTCATCTTTGTCTGTGTTTGAGGTGGTATGTTATAAATTTAGATATATAATGTTATTGTATATCCATCATATATAAATACCGTTTCTACATTCTATATGTCTGGATTTAATTGTTTACTTTCAAAGCTAACTCAAGTTTTAAGAACTGAGAAAATTTTAAGTGCCTGCCTTTGAGCAATGGTTATGAGTGCATTGTCTAACAAAAAAAGAGTAAATTCCTAGAATGGTACTCAATAACTATGTGTTTTTCCAAATTAGTCCTCAAAACTAACTACTTCCTGGTATGGTACTCAGTAATTGAGAATAATGCTCAATTCAGTCCCCCCAACTAACATCCGTTAAAACGGCGTTAAATAGACGTTAAACCTTATATTAGTTTCTTAAAATTAGTTAACGAGTACCATATTGGGAATTAGTTAATTTTGGGAACTACATTTGGGAAAACACATGGTTATTGAATACCATTTTGGAAATTTACTCAAAAAAATGCTTTCTTATTTTAAATTTCTTAACCAAAGCCCTTAACTAAGGGCAACAATGGACATTTGTATTTCCTCACATATGTACACTATAATCAATCTCACTAGTGGACTCATAGGTAAAAGCAGATCCACATTGAGTCCCAAAGGATCTCGAGACCCCAAAGACCTCCACTTGGGCCTTTACATATACTCCCTCCTTCCAGAATATTCATTCATTTGACTTTTTCAAATCAAACTAGACAATTATTGACCTTTAATTAAATAAAAATTGCATTTAATATCATAGCTTGCTTTATTGACCAAAAGTTCACGAATTCGAAACTCACCGCCGCCCACATACAAGGTTGGAGCAAAAACAAATCTCCCTTGCACGCGAGAAAGCGTGTTAGAAGTATTAGGCTAAACTCCCCTATTGGCCCTTCAAATTTATCAGATTGGTCCTTTAAAGTTTCAAAAGTCCATAAATAGTCCTTCAACTTTATGAGTTATGCACGATTGGTTAATCAAGTTCCAAAAGTCCATAAATAGTCTTTCAAATACATGTCAGCCCTCCAAATCATTTTGACGGTAAACGTTAAAAGCTAAATGGAGTACTAGCTCCATACAATACGAAGTAGTCGTACTTAGTGGAATTTACTCGTATTATATGGAATTAGTACTCCATTTAGCTTTTAATGTTTACTGTCAAAAGGACCTCACTTGGAAGGCTTACGTGTACTTGAAAGACTAGTTATGACAACTTGAAGGACTAATCATGCACAACTCATAAAATTGGAAGAGTATTCATAGATTTTTGAAATTTGAAGGACCGATCGTGCACAACTCATAAAATAGAAAGACTAATTGTGGATTTTGGCTGAAGTATTAAATCCTCCCCGAGGCCTACAACCACAAGATTGAGTTTTTGGTTGAATCGGTGTTCTTATTTTTTGCTCAATAAATCTATCTTGCAGAATTCACAGATCAATTCAACCAGACTCCGAATTTCAGCGATCAAAACCATGAAAATTGAACATAATCGGAAGAAAACGTGAGAAAATTGACCTCCAAGAAACGGGCCTCTTGTTCTGACCTCTTCAGTTCGGCTGAAATCGCGTGCTTCCCTCCTTCCGATCGAGTCTGCTTCTCTAAGCTGCCGGAAGATTCCAGAATGCCGAGGAGCATCTTTCTCAAGAAATTTCCCGGTGGTTTATCTCATTTGCGGAATGTGGATTCTTCTCCTTTGGGTTGGGTTTTTAATTTACGAAGTGCTTTTTTTTTGCGGGGTCAAAGTGACAAAAAGATAGACTTTTAGCTTACCTTCTTTATTTTTGTTGTTGTTAATGAGGATAAATGTTTGGACAATTATTGGATGTGAAAATATGACAATGCCCTCTTTTTAGTATTGGTTGACATAGGGCATGTTTAGAAATGTTAGTACGAAAAAGCTATCTACACACAGCGTATAACGTTAGCGTTTTTATAATAATATGCATCATTAATATTTTATCTAAAAATGCTAATTCTAATTTCTAACGATATCCCCAAATATGCACATAATAGATTTGGAAGCAGTAAATTAGATTATAGTTTTAGATTAAAACGATGAAAAGTAAATATTATCGTTGGTACGTGCAATAATTTCACAAAAAACATTATTATTATTATTATTAAAACTATTATTGTATCATCGGTATTAGGACTTAAATTTGGGTTACTTCATTTGAATTTTTTTCAATGAGTTATATTAGCGGATATTTGTGATTAAGTTCAGAGTTTTTGTTAGTTGAGGGCCCGTATAATTTAGCCTATTTGTATACTAGTACAATACATCCAATAATAGAGGAGTTATAATTAGAGGAGTAATATTGAAGGGTTTTATGGTGCTTGGTTCGATGTTGAATTAGGTAATTATGTACCTTCAAAAAATTCTAATGCATTGATAACTTAAATCTATAATGCGAAACTCAAATTAATACCTCAACGTGGACCGATCATGTATCAAAGTAATCAATCAAGAAATGTTGTCTTTTTGTATTGAAATTTGATGAAACTCGATCGATATAAAAATGTAAAAATGATGGGGTTGTTTATGATTTTGCAAGATTTGAGTTAATTTATACTCCTTTCTGCATTTATTGATAAGCATTTGTTTTGATTTTTAGATTGTCTAGACACTCTGAGGGTGGATTCGAATTTTTTCTATTTACCTTCTATCATAATATAAAATATAAAAGTATCGTAATTTTTTAGAATGTATTTAAAAGTGATAATTATTTCTAGAGAAAAGGAGGAAGAAGTATTTCTTTAGAGGATACTACTATACTCAATGTACGCTAAGATGTACACAAAGGGTTGGGCATAAACCCAATATATACCGGGCCAACTCTTCATTTTATTCCACATTTTTCAGAAAGAGGTTTGGTAAGGGAAATTACGCTTTTAAAATCACTTGTTTTAAAGGCATACGTACTCTGTAAATGCTTATAATGATAATCCAAAAACATACTCCATACTTATTTAACTCATGTTTATTTAGAGTTTTAGTCGGATCATTCACGTAATCATGTGATTACCCTTAGGAGGAAGATATGTGACACATAATAGTCATACATTTTGTGGGAGGCTTATGGCAGGGTTGGAGTGGGGGTGCGGGGGGTTTAGGGGGTGGGTTAGGGGGTATGAGCTGTCAATTTTACGAACTACGCACCAGAAGTGCTCCAAAATGACAGTGGCACCGGAGTGACGGAGTGTCACCGTACTCCGGTGTCACTAGAACCCGACCGAACCATTAAACTACTTACATGTATGTTGGTTCAATGTATTTCAATTTATAATTAGTTCAAGACTTATCAACTATCCTTCTTAAACATCAAGGGAAAATTAATTAGTTTCTCTAATTTTTGAAATTTACATGTACATCTTCTGTCTAAAAGTTATTTTCTCCTTTACTATTTATAGTTACAAATTTTTTTTGCTCTATTTTTATTGTTCTTTTGATAAAATAAGTTAGTAATGTCACATCTCGTTTTGTAGATCTTTTTTATCAATTTTAAATAGTTAGTTTTTCTTTTTTTTTAAAAATTCACATTCTTTTTCATACTACGGGTATAAAATAATTTAAAACTAATTGATGTCCAATAATGTATCTGGGCACTTATAATTCCTTTTGCGCTTGTTTAGACGATTCTCACCGTGCCACATGTCGCATCTAGATACGTTCAATTGGTAACTTTTACTCCATTGCCAATATAATTCAAAGAATTGTACCCAAAAAATGAACATCACAAAGGTTACAAACGGAATCCCCTTTCCTCATATTTCAAGGAAAGTAGTTTCTTTTTCAAAGATCAAACGAGCTAAAATATTATCCCAAAAAAATTAATTTTTTGTTGAATATTTTTTTGTCTCAAGATGTTTACTACATTACCACCATATTTAAGGAATGTATGCCATCAATATTTTTAAAAAATTCTGATAAATTATTTAAAATTCGTGAATTCTCTAAAATTTATTATTTATTTTAAGTCAAGACAGAATAAGATTTATCTTAATCACTCCCTAAACTCCTACTCCTATACACCCACATAACCCACTCCTAAATCAGCATTTTTGGATATAAGGGGTGAGTAGGGGTTTATGGAAGGTTCAAAAAGATATAAACAATTAATTTTACCAATGAAATAATATAAATATTTCAAATTGAGTATTATATAATTATTGTATGAGTAAAATTTTTTGTTGTAATGTTAAGATCTATATTGACTTTCTCACATATTTTTTTATTTTAAAAATATTTATTTTAATATTTAGAAAATGTTTATTTAACATATATTAGATCCATGTAGTAATTTGGCCTTTAAATAATTCTCAATTTCTCATTTCCGTTACCCCCATATTCCCCACCTGAGCATTACACTTCCCAATGGCCAGTCACTTCCAAAGTAGTTTCCGAAGCGCCGCCCCACGCGCCGCCGTCTCCGCACCCCAGAGACACCACCTAGGGTACCCGTTTTCCATTTTCACTAAAGATCCTCTTTTGATCCGGAGGAGGCTCTCCCAGATAAGGAAGAACTCAAGAATCCAAGTATCTGATGGAGGAGACCTGTTGCAGACGGCGGTGGATCTCGAGAGTAAGTCTCTCTACTTCCAGAAAATCGTCGAGAACAGCGGAAAAGGCCCGGCCGGAGAAGAGGAGGTTAGCCCGGAAGCTTTGGGGAAGAAAACCGAAGAGTTCAAGAAGATTCTCGACTTTTCCTCGGAGGAGAGGGATAAAATCCAGAGAATGCAGGTCATTGACCGTGCGGCGGCGGCGATTTCCGCCGCTAGGGCACTGTTGAAGGAGAACCCTCTGCCGCAGCGGGAGGCTTCCGGTGAAATGGAGGAGGCTCAGGGCGGCGATGGAAATGGGGTGATTCAAAAAGGTAAGTTCAATTATAGTTTTCCTCTAGAGTTCATATATGTCTTGTTTGAGTGACAACAATTAGCTGTTTCCTGATTGTATTGTGAGTTTTTGACTATGGAGTCATGTATTACTTAGAAGCATTATTTGGCATTAGCTTAGCTTCAGAGTCCACTTCCATTGTTTTGAAACTGTTATCCGAAGCCAATTAACTTGTTAAGAGAATTCTTTGTTTGGCCAGCACCAAACAATGGGAGCTTATCGGTTCCTCAACCGGCGAATACTACCCCTGGTCCAAGCTTTTGGGCATGGACACCTCCTCCAGACAGCTCCATTGATGACAAAAAACAACTTAAATTGGATGCAAAAGTTTCTGCACTTCCCAATCCAAGCACTCCTGTAATGGAGAAAGAACGTTCGGCTGATTATCTGTTGATACCATTTGAGAGTGGCATTTTGGGAAGTACCAAAATTGACCCACTCCTACCCCCTCTTCAGTCACTCGTGGAGGTGGAAACCCCGAGCGCCACTGTGGAGACACCCCAACATCAAGAGGAGGAACATGAACTCGGCGTCCAGTTTTCAACGCAGGCTGCTGAGGCTGTTCTTGCACTGGAACAGGCTTCTCCTACCCATGGAGTTAATCCCGATGGATCAAAGTGGTGGAATGAGACCGGAACCGAACAAAGACCGGATGGGGTTTTGTGCAAGTGGACTGTGACTAGGGGTGTAAGTGCAGATAAGGCTGTTGAATGGGAAAACAAGTATTGGGAAGCTGCAGATGAGTTTGGGTACAAAGAATTGGGTTCTGAGAAATCCGGGCGTGACGCGGTTGGAAATGTATGGCGCGAGTATTGGAGGGAATCCATGTCTGAGGTCAGACTTCCTCTTTAATGAATCTTTTGGATGATGCGCAGCTTATCTGACCCAGGTACATTTCTTTTTCTTTTGTGCCCACCTGCAGAATGCTGGGCTCGTTCACATGGAGAAAACTGCAGACAAGTGGGGAAAGAATGGGAGAGGTGAAGAGTGGCAGGAACAATGGTGGGAGAAGTATGATGCATCTGGCCAAGCTGAGAAATGGGCACACAAGTGGTGCAGCATTGATCCTAACACACCCCTTCTTGCAGGCCATGCTCATGTGTGGCATGAAAGGTATTGCTATAATGTTATTCATCTGTGCCAACCTCTGATATAGGATTAGAGTATCTTGGTAGTCCTCTCGGCCTTAGTTTCACTACTACAAAAAAAGGCATGTTGCGTTGGTTATTTTTGACCTTTCGCATCGGTTCCCAACCAATGCAAAAAGGAGCGATGCAATTGATGCTAAACCTTTTGCATCTGTTGTTAAACCGATGCAAAAAGGGTGCTTACGCGCCCAGAATTGGCTCTTGGGAAGGTCTTTTGCATCGGTTATTTCCAAATAACCGATGCAAAAGACCTACCCTGGTATTTAGATCCAAAATGGGGAAGGCTTTTTGCATCAATTATTTTGGAATAATGGATGCGAAAAGCCTTTTCAGACTTTTAGTTTCAAAATGTGGAAGGCCTTTTGCATCGCTTATTCCCAGGCTTTTACAAAGTTTGTAGTTTATGATGACGTGCTTTTTATGCTTTGTGTCTTGTCATTAGTGTCGGTATGTTTGCGTCTTGTGTCTGTGCTCTTCCTTAGTTCATGCAAATGTGTTTTCTTTGTCCGTACTATTGTGTTCGAGCTGGGATCTCTTGGAAATAACCTCTATATTGTCAAGTAGGAGTAAAGTTTGCCAACACACATCATCCTCTAACTTTATTTTCGTAAGATTTTACTGGGTTTGTTGTATTTTTTCTTGTTAATTGTGATACGTTTTTCTCAAAACCAACAAAAGATTTTGGAGAAGTTTGATATCACACGTTCACATAACGTATGTGTTCTTTTTGGTAGGTGGGGCGAGAAGTATGACGGGCAAGGCGGGGCGGTGAAATACACGGACAAGTGGGCGGAGAGGTGCGAGGGGGACGGGTGGTCGAAATGGGGGGACAAGTGGGACGAGCACTTTGATGCGAACGGGCACGGGGTGAAGCAAGGGGAGAAGTGGTGGGAGGGGAAGCACGGCGACCGATGGAACCGCACGTGGGGTGAGGGGCACAACGGCTCGGGGTGGGTGCACAAGTACGGCAAGAGCAGCAGCGGGGAGCATTGGGACACCCACGTGCGGCAGGACACCTGGTACGAGAGGGTCCCGCACTTCGGCTTCTACCATTGCTTTGAGAACTCGGTCCAACTCCGGGAAGTCAAGCGGCCGTCGGAGTCGGAGGAGTCCTAGGAGGGAGTGTTTTGTCATTGTTTTTATGGTCACATGAATGGTGTATGTGTGTGTGTGTATATGTTTGTGAGATTTATGTATACAAAAAAAAATGTTTGGTGTGAAATGTGTTACTCCTTGTTAAGAATGGTGAAATAAAACTTTTGTGTTTGGTGTGATCAAGTGGGGAGATGAGCTTCAAATTCTTCCCAAAAAGCCCAAATGGTCCCTTGTTTGTTTGGGACTCGTTTGGCTGATTATCTCAACAAAGCAAATTAAGAACAATGCCAAACTGCCCTATCTTTCTCCCAATCTTGTACCCATTCTGTAATGTTTTGAAAATCATATCAAACGAACTGTAGGACTGGGTTTAAGATTAATTGGTTGAAATGGGTCAACAACACAGTCACGTTTTCACCTATACCTAAAGGCTAAAGACAAAACAATAGATAAGTTGGCATGTTATTATATAATTTTGTTCGGAGTTCAGTTCGGTACAATTTTATGTATATAATTTTGTGTTACCAAACAAAAGAACTATAATTATAATACAATTATATATCAATTTTAATTAGAATTTGGAATTGAATTTTAATCCAATTCAATTCTATACAGTTTGAAATCCCAATTAGTTCCAATTTCGCGTACCAATAAAATTAAAGTAAATATTGTGTGATCTTTCGAAAATTACAATACTTTGACTTATCATGATTTGACTTCTCAATTAAGTAAATCTCAAGCTGTAAATGGAATACATGGAATAAAGAAGAACACGGATTAACATTAAGATTGATTCCCTAACAGGCTATACGCTATAGCTAGCGACTTCCTTTGATTTCTTTGTTTTTTTTTTTTGAAAAATGCCAGGGTACACTAATTCAACCAAAAGTTCAAGCTTCTAGTTGTGATTTAAGAAGAGTTATTTATATTCTAACACGTCTCCTCACGTGCAGGTATAGTCTTTTTCAAGCTTTGCACATGAAACCTTAATTTTTTTAAACTGGGTGGAGCTGAGTTTCGAACCCGTAACCTCTTAGTCAACGAGGCTCTGATACCATGTCAAAGAACCAACTCAACCAAAAGATTAATATTGTAGTTTAGGCCCAAAAACAATTATTTATATTCTAACACCTTGATCTGTAAAAAAAATTGCATTGTATGTATGATCGTCCGTCATTATGTAGGTGATTTTAGTGTCATCGGCTATTTATTATGTGATTTGATTTACTTAAATCAGACAAGAATTTGAATAGACGTTGTCTAACGAGTCAGGAGGCACGGAGTATGCACTCGTTCTACGATATTACATCCCCTGGCGGTCTAAGGGACAGAGCCCCTAGCCAGAGTCGAGTTGCCGGGACAGCAGAACTCTTTTATTTTGGACGTTATTTTTTATGAAAATTCTACGGATTTTCTCAAATGGAGTCCATAATATTAGAAAATCCCGGCACTTCAGATAAAGACTAATTTTGAGCAAACTCTACGAACGTTTGCATCCAAAACATTGAAAGTTTGCGTTTATCCCTACCACGCGAAAGTTTGTAAATTTTTACGCGAAAGATCATGTCTCATAGTCGATTTTCATCTCTATATATAGAGACGCTCGGGTATGGTTAAAGATACCGGAGTATATGATTCGAAAGACTTGTTACGTTCTTGATTAACGTCTTATCTGCTTAAAATATTTCGTATATTCCGAAACAACTTTGATCTGAAAGCATTATACCGTCAACGCAATTCATTATACTCTATCAAATTATTCTTCTCATTCTTCGTGAACGCTGCTAGAGCGTTCTTTTTCCATTTTAATTTCATACACATTATGTTGGTCTTATGGGGGACCATCGATCAACCTTAGTGATTCGCTATTGTGCTTAGCACGGTATCGGGTATTGACAGCCCAACCTGACGAGGTACATGAGTCGTGTATCTTGCGAAGCCTCTCCTGTCCATCCACCGCTCAGTAGTGGGGCTCTGCACTCCCGTAGTGAACTATAGGGGGTGCCCTATAGGAATATACCTCGGCTTGGGGCTACAGAGAGATGTGATTAAATACAAAGTGTACACCTTCCTATCACCAATTGGTTTTAGGAAGCATTTGTCACCTCTTTAATTTCAGAACTCTGTGGTTAAGCGTGCTGGAACGGGAGTAGTCCCAGGATGGGTGACCCACTGGGAAGTTCTAGAAAAACGATCCTACAAGTGGTATCAGAGCCAAAGTCACGAGTTCGATTCCCAGCGGGAGCAATTGCTGAGGGGGAGATTGTTGGCCATATGTGCAGCAATTGTCCCGTGGCGGAGGCTATGTGGGCCAAGTCACAGTCGAATGTCGTGGGCGCTTGTATGTTGAATGCACTATAAGGCTAGGGTATGCGCCTCTTCTAACACCAATTAGTTTTAGAAGAGTTGGTAGCGTCTGAGGTCCTACACATTATCGTTGTCACAAATAGAATCGGAAATGGTCCCTTTTTTCTCTCACCCTATTAATGTTCAAATAAGCTATATATATGCCTCCGGACTCTTTGTCTTCTTTTCTCACAAGTCGCACAAACGTCAAACCAGTGTCGCCGGCCGCCGGCCAATTGCTATATATCTACTTTGCCTAGCTAGCTTGTCGGCATGGAAGATATCCATTTCCTATTTACCTACACACCACCTACATATATACGACTCCCTCCGTCCCGTAAAACATGAAAGTTTGAATTTTGAAGACGGATTTAAGGAGAGTGTATTTTGATATTGAATTTTTAAAAATGTCATTTGATGTGATGAATAAAAGTATGATTTGATGAAAAGATTATTAGTAAAAATGTATGATGTGATAGGTAGGGTATATATGAAAAAATAAGGGGTAAAAGTGACTTTTTAATAGAAATGAGAAGTGTTTTTTGGGACAAATGAAAAAAGAAAGGAAAATGTTTTCAGGAACGGAGGAAGTATATATCTGTCCCAAGCTAATGGATTCAATTTAACTATTCTACAGAATATATGAAAAATATTACGGAGTAATTAATAAAAAAATAAGTAATATGGAGTAATTGAAATTTATTTAATAAAAAAGAATTTATGAAAAAAGAAATGTGACGTATAGATTCTTAACTTTTATTAACGAATTATATGAACTAATTGAGCTATGTATACCCTATATTTATTTATTTTAAAATATCTTTTTTGTGTTTGTGGATTAAAAAAACTAATAATAATTATATTGTAGCCAGTAGAAAAGGGAGAGCTTATATTCTATAAATAGCTAGAGATAGCTGGGTGGCTGGCTTGTTTAACTAGTACTCTTATTAATTAGAAATTAGCTAATTAAGGTTAAATGCCATGGCTGATGAGTTAAAGAACAATGAAGATCAAAATGTTGAACTCAAGGAAGGTGAAGGTTAGTAGGTTTATTTATTTTTCACCATATATGTTTCTCTATAATATTCTTATGTATTTTAATTGATTATGTGATAAAATACAATATTCTTGTCACTTGTTCATTCGTAGAAGTTTTGATATAGTATTTTAATATGTAATTTTTATTCTTTATTGATTTAAAAATTTGTAAATAAAATAATTTCAAAAGGTACGAGAGTTTACATCGTGAATCATAATTTGTAATCAAATTTGGGATGGAGGAAATATTAATCATTATTATTGTGTGTTTTAGGGTGCATCACAGTTGAGGAATTGGGAGCAGTGATTAGATTATTGGATCAAAAGTTAACAAAGGATGAGTTGCATGCTATGATCAATAAAAATAATAATAATGATGATGAATTTGACGAATCTGCTGGGAATGCCACCATAGAGTTCATACATTTCTTGAACCTTATTGCCATCAAAATGAAGGTGCCGCTCCTTCCCTACAAATTTGTCTTGTGCCTTGTTCTCCAGAATTAATTTTTAATGTAATTTTTAAATATATAGTTTTGTACAATAATTCTATACTACTCCATCGGTCTTAAAACTGTACGTCTTTTCGTTTTGGTATACGAGGTTTGATTGATATAATTATCAGTTCAATTTATTTAATTATAGGTGTGTAAAATTACACACACACATATATAAAAAATTGTATCCAAAGTTCTACATTTCATTTTATCAATTAACTAATAAAAATAGGTAAATAAAGTAATTAAAATTTGATCGTGTAAATCACAACTGAAAAGAAAGTGTTAAGACGGAAAAAATTAATTTTTAAAATAACGAAGCTTATTTAAAGTAATTATTTTATGATCGGTGAGGAAATTGATGACCAGGAATTAGATGCCGAAGAGGAGCTTAAGGAGGCTTTTAAGGTGCTTGACAAAGATCAAAATGGGTATATTTCGCCTAGTGGGGTAAGTTTGGCATTAAAGTAAATTAATGTATATATATCTGTTCCTTCCATTCAAAAATTTCTTTCCTGTTTTGACTTAACACAGAAATTAAAAAAAATTTTAAAGTATTGAGATTTTTCATGTATTACTCTTGATATGATTGAATAAAATGAATTGTGTAGATAAAAAGTAAGGGTATGATGACAATTCATTAAAAGTTTTTTACCAAAATAAAAAATAGGGAAATTTTTTTATGGACGATCCAAAAAAAGCGAGAAAGAAATTAATGGACAATTAGATTACTAATAAGTAAATTTGAAGAATCTGTGCAACATATTACATAACTGATTATTAAAGACCATTTTCCCACTATCATTTTTTGTGAACAAAATTTATAAGCTCATCATTGATAATAATTAGGAATATTTCATATAAATGCAGTTGAGACATGTGATGATAAATCTTGGAGAGAAATTAAGCGATGAAGAGGTTGAGGAGATGATTAAAGAGGCCGATTTGGACGGCGACGGCCACGTCAATTATGATGATTTTGTGAAGATGATGACCCCTACCTCTCGTTAAATATAATATAATGCCTTCAATTTACTTAACATAAGTACATTAATAATTATCTCATATAATTATGTAATAAAGCTAGAATTCTTATTCATCACCAAAATATAATAAGTTTATGAGAAATGCTAGATGGGATACACCGAATTTTTGCCCAAAGTTGCGTACCAAGTAAGGAGTATATATCAGAGACCCACATAGACGATTTTTTTGTGTATGTGTCTATGATATACATGTGCAATTTGTGGTCTAAACTTGGTGTATCCTCAGCACAGAAGTAAAAAAAATTAT